TACTGGAAGAAGTAAACTACACATAAACTTACATTCTTCATGCATAAAATACATGTCCATTCATTCATATGCACACACATAACACAAAAGAAACTAGAAACTATACAGAAATTGTAGCTAAGTTGAAGGATGGCTTAATTTCTTCTCAGAGAGTTGAACAGACAAATTTATAAAATGGGTTACATGGTGATCCCAAAGGCAACAAGAAACTTAGTTTCATAAAACAACTGGTCATGCCTTACAATAGCCATAATAAGAAGTAGAAAAAAATAAGCAAGAAAATCATTGTTGCTTGTCCACCACCAATTTCTGTACCACAAGTAGAAGAAATAAAAACCTGTAAGAAATTGACAAGATCCTTCAAACCAAGTCAACATATACCTGATATTCAGTGACTTCAATGGGAAGGTGGTCAGTTTGAAGGAAAAAATTTTGGAAAATATGGTACAAAATTATGAAGTGAAAGAAACTAAAGTACTGTATACTACTCAGAGAACTACCATCTATAAATTGTGAATATATTTTGAAAATGATAGTTGAAAGAAACTGAATTTGAAGAGCACTAAATACTTTCTTGAAAAATAAAATGGGGGGCAGCTAGACGACACAGTGAAGAGAGCACCGGCCTGTGAGTCAGGAGGACCTGAATTCAAATCTGGTCTCAGACACATATGTGACCCTGGGCAAGTCACTTAACCCCACTGCCTAGCAAAAACAAAAAACAAAACAAAACAAAACAAAAGAAAAATTAAAAGGACCATAACACAATTTGTTCTAAGGAACTACTGTGATTTCATAAAATTTGATGATGGCATGTGGTATGTTAATGAGTCGAGTAGTGAGAGATATACAATGAAAGTGACTAATAAAATATTTTAAGCATATAGAAGCAAACAAAAGGTACAGAGCAGTATAGAGTATTTTTGTTACTTCCTTTTAAAAATATATATGAAATGAAAATTTTACATATAGATATATTGATTTTTTAACTTTCACATATATTTACATTTCATAGATTCACAGTTTCTTATATAATCATTTTAAAGTTCTATGTATATAAAATGTTTAATGATTAAACTCACAATAAACAGAAAAAGACTTAAAGGTAAAATGTTAAGAAATAGATAATATCAGACAAGCGATAATTATTTTAAAACCACCTGTCTTTATGCATCTAGGCCATTGTCTCATTTGATCACAAGTAAAAATCAATACCAACTTTAAAAGGATAATGATTAGAAGACTATTTTATGTAATTACAATAGTTCCAACCTAACCTACTGAAACAAGTTGCTGACTCTGAAAAATTAAGAATAGATGAAATCACTGGTTTATAGAGACTAAATCACTGGTTTACAGAGAAATTTAATCAATATAAACATTTATCCAAAAAAGGTCAAAAAGACATGGAAACATCTTACCAAAAAATACTTGACATTCTTGTAAAGCACATACAAATAAGCTAAGTATAATTCAAGTTGAGAATAATAGTTTCTTTGTAAGATTTTATAGAGGAGACTGAAGGAAGGTCATAAGTAGTATCATCTCAGAGAACATCAAAAAACATTGTAGGATAAACTGAATTTGCAAAAACAAACAAACAAACAAAAAAAGACATGCCATCTCTAAGCTAGATCAAAGACTCTAGACTGAAAAGAACTTAGAGGGCTTCTATCAACCTACCTGATTTTACAGATCAGAATGCTAAACACTAGAGAAATTAAGTGGCTTTCCTTAGACTCCTATAGGCAGTAAATTGCATATCAGAGATTCAAAGCTAGGTTTTCTGAGTTCAAATCTATCCACCTTTCTATTGCATCACATTTACATACAAATCTAAAAATAGCTCAACAAAAGACCATAACATTCAACAGATTTTCCCAAGTTTATAAAGCAATTTAGACTCAACATTAGTTACAATGAGGCCACCATTAGACTTCTGTGATAAGATTACTATCTACTAGTATTTCCCCACAATATAGGGTAGACCAATGTCTCCCCCAAAACATTGGTTTGCACGATTTCCTCCTTCCCCATCAATGGGAATTAATTCTCCCTAAAAAAGGACAAAAGTGTCCTTGGAACTTAATTGGCATTCTCTCTATTGGCAAAGCTTCTTAGTCTTTTAAGGTAATGAAAAGTACCTCTTTGTGGAGTCTAGGCCTCTGAGACCTGTTAAATTCTGAAGACCAGATGAGTCATCATACCCTGCCCTACTGAGCAGATACATTTCTGAAGGTGAAGATGTCCACCAAATCTGAAACTAAGTGCTACTATATCCCTGCTGATGTCTTTTACATGGTATGGGTAAATATTTTACACACATCTCTGCCTCTTTTTGTTTGTCTGTACAGAAGAGTGTCTCATTTCAACCCAGCATCAAATCTGAATTAACAGGATGCTGGCATTAAACCCATCCTTAACAACTTCTAACAATTATATGCATATATACATATAATAACAATTATATATATATAGTGTGTGTGTGTATATATATATATATATATAATAATGTACATACACACACAGAATAAATCTGTGATGAGTGTGACTCAACTTTGAGCTACTATGATATCAATTTGCAATAAAAACATGCCAAAAGAGTAGAAAATATTATTATTATTATATTATTATTATTATTATACATATTACTAAAAAATGAGAACACATAAAAAACTATTGACCAGCGTGTCAACTTCCTCTTTATGAGGCAAGGGGAAGGGAGTAAGTATTTGTAGCACTTACTATGTACTAGGCACTGGGCTAAAAACTTTTACAAATATTATCTCATTTGTTCCTTACAATAATAACTCTGTAAGGTAGGTGCTATTATTATTATTATCCCTATTTTACAGTTGAAGAAGCTGAGGAAGAGGTTAAGACATAAAGCGAATGAGTATCTTAAGGCAGGATTTGAGCTCAGATTTTCCTGACTTCAGGCACAGAACTTTATCTACTTCATCACCTAACTGCCTTTGTACCTATGTACAAGTTCAAGAGATCTTTAATTTAATATGCACGCATACACACACATGAAAAGAGAACAAGTGATGTTCACATGCAATTTTCTATACCATGTCATATTTTAATACATAATTTTCTAAGAATTATAGAAGATATATATTGGTTGATTACATAAAATAGTCTTAAAATCCCTCATTCAAAAAGATGTTTCCCACAATCATACATTTTACTGTAACAGCTTTAACTACACAGCTAATTTTGACAAAACAAACACAACAACAAAACCTCTAAGTATGAAGATCAAGGAGAATATAAAAAGGAAATAGATGATTGCCAGAAGTTTTCATTAGTGACTTGGAGGATATCCTACACAAACACTAAATACAAGAGTAATTTCCTATCAATGATGAGTTTCTCCTTATGCTCCTATATGTGGATGGCTAGGAGTCTAGAACATTCCCATACAGTTGCCAGTGGCATGTTAGGATAATGATGGAATTTTTTTTTTAACAGGTCAGTCATTGAATAAGTAGGTCTTGCTCCCTCTTGGTGAGAAGGAATGGAATTTCTTCTTAGTTGTAGGTAGATGTAGATTTCGTGACTGGACTTCTTGAACAAGGAGGGTGGCAGAATTTTCTTCCTAAGTAAGCTTTTGTGAGGCCAGAGTTCAACAGTGACAGTAAAAAGATAAAGGGCTTTATAAGAGGAGGGCCATAGTCTTGCACTGACTATAATGCTAGATGGACTACATTTATTTCCAAAAGATTTTATTTAATGATATGAAAAAAAAATCACACCCTCCCCCTTCCCTTCTCCCTCCCCCAACATTACTCTCAAGGAGTGATACGGATTTTAGGAACAATTAACAGGGACTTCAGGAGAACCCACTGTTAAAAAAAAAGGGTTAGATGTCCCATTCTTGAAGCGATGTAGAACTACCAAGGGAGCCACATGGAGAGCAATATTTCACACAGTCCTCTGGGCAATACATAAATCAGTGAGAAAACTCATGCCTGGCAGCAGTACATGGAAGCAGCAGAGAAAGTAACTATCTTTTCATAATTGTATGTTATTGTGCAGTACAACAATCTAATTGGTCCCACAAAGGACACAAAATTGGTCCCACAAAAATATACAAAGAAGTATTTTTTTCCTAAAAGACTTATGAATTTTGTTTTCTTTTATCCATCAAAATATTTTTTCTACTATTTTAGGAGCTATAGGCTTGTAAGTATGGAATAATTCCCGGTCCATTTGGATAGAAGGAGCAAAGGCACTACAGGAGTAGTTTCCCTTAGTAGGGCTACCAGCCAAGAGAGTGAGAACATTCCCCAATGGGTAAATGTGCCCTACATACTACCAGACCATCTCTGAAACAAGAGTTATGCCCAAAATAGTTTCAAAAGTATAGAGAAAGGCCTCTAGTTAGTCATAAAAATCACTGGTGGATTCACAGAGGATAATAAAGGGATGGACTCAGAAAAAGATTGATAAAGGTAAGGGGAAACACCAAGATCATGGATCTGTTGAACTTTTGAAAGACTGAAATATTCTTGGACCTGTGAGGCGGACAGAGAATTTCCCCATGGTATGGTTGGTGGTATGTGGCTACTGGAACTCACACAAAAAGAATTAATGAAGGTGGTTATGGGTTTTGTGTACATTAAGGTATCAGTACCCCAGAATGTAGCTTCTTAGGCTCACTGGTTCATAGATATTGAACTTGAAGGAAGATAATAAGGCATGTTGTACAACAGCCCTAATTATACTTTAGGAAACTGAGGCACAAAGAAATTAAGACTAGATTTGAACTCTTGTTTTCTGAAATCGAAGATATGACCTTCCGACTGTTCCATGGTGTCTCTCATGGTGCTTCCTTTGGTGTCTTAATCTAAGAATAACTTTTTAAGTGTTTTGGTAAATGAAACTTTAATGTTTTAAATAAAGGTGAGGTAAGTAGTTTCTTGACGCATAGTAACTAGGGAGAAGGAGGAAGCAAAGGAAAAAAAACCCTATCTCTATTTTTTAAACCCTACCAATCTAGGTCAAGTAGACTCTTGTCCTTGAAAATCCATCTTCCTGATAGTCCAGTCAGTTGCATGTTTGTCTCTGTTTATAGGTTTCCTTCCACCTTGTGAGAGACACTAGAAAGAAATGAGGTAAATCATAATAAATCAAATGTAAAAAATACATATATATCAAAAGGATAAAATATCTGGAATTTGAATGGGTATGTACTGATTCTATGCAATATGGAGTGTCAACGAGTCCTCTGAGAGAAATAAAACAGGAAAACAAACAGGCACTTTATTGTCGTAACATAAACATTTCTCATGAGATGCTATCATTAGGCAGATCATTACCAGCACTTTCTTTTTTCTTTTTCTTCTTGTCTCATAAAATAGAATTGGCATTTACTACATTGATGTCTTGCACAATAAACTATAAAATAAGAATTTATGACAGTGGCAGAAGCCACATAAAATTTGTTTGTGGGGCTGAATATTATATATGGGCTCTAGAGACTAGTGAAGTTGGGTCTCACCAGAATTCTTTCATGTCAAAGAGAAGAACTGAGAACTAAGATATGACATCTCCATATGTACAGGAACACCTGTAAATACCTGTTAGGTTCATTAACACATTTAGAAAGACAGGGTTGCGGAAAATGTAGTGATAAATGCAATGCAGTGTTGAATTAAGAATGTAAGCTCCTTGTGAGTAGGGATTATTTCACTCAATATAGTTTTGTCCCGGCACCTAGCACATAGGAGCACTTAATAAATACTTACTGCTTTATTGACTGACTTAGAGTCATGGTATATAGGTTCAAACTTTTGCTTGACTATGTGAATTTAGTGTTTTAGGCATCTGTACCTCAGTTTCCTCATCTTCCAAATGAGGCTAGACTAGATAACTTCTAAAGTCCTTTCTAGATCCAAATCTATGATCCCATAAACACTGAATTTGTACAGATCTTGAGTAGAAACTACATTTTGACACTGGAAACACATTGAAATTTTCCAATATCGACTTTGGGTATATTTATTTGCATGATCCTTTTGTTAAAACTCCATTTGCTTTTCCAAGTCACATTGCTCTTTCTCTGAAATCAATATAAAACAAATGCCTGGCAAAATGTGTCTCTTTAGGAAACATTTATCTTTCAAACATAGCCTTGGTTGGGAAATGAAGAAAGCATCCTCACCTCTAGGGTATTTTCTGTAGGTCTGCTGGGTGTTCCAACCATAAAAATTGCAAATTAAGTTCCTCATCCAAGCTTTGTTATTGGTATACTGATGATGGTCCCTTTTAGATTTCCCTTAACTAAATTCTTCCTGTTAGAGAAATGCTTAGTCAAATGATAATGTCCCTGTGCAGTGAGCAGAGACCATCATAAATCATCCACTAGTAAAACAAACATTCCTCAGCAACCTTTCCATTTTAATTAATAATGAAGGAGAGGATTTCTCTCAGTGCCAAAGATATTATTGCTTTCCCACTGAGGCTATAAAAAACAATTTTGCAAGAGAAGGGGCTTTTTTGATGGCAAATAGCACCCTGTGCCATATTCAGTGGGTTTTCTACTTATCACTGGGAACATTCTAAGATCAAAAATTTAGAGCCAGAAAGGACTTTAATGTTCATTGTGTCCAATTCCTTCATGAAGAAACTGAAGCTGAGAGAGATCAAGTGACTTACCTAGGATCACACAGCTTTTAGGTATCTAAGGCAACTTTGAACACTGGTTGTCCTGACTTCAGGCCTAGACTATTCTATCCTAGGGCTTCTAGTCAAATAATTATCTTGAAATCTAGACAGGATTTGTTCCATGTATAAATCTTTATTGTATGTATGTGGATGTGTGTAACATAGACAGATAGATCTATATGTAAATATAGATCTATACACACATATATTATAGTACAATAATATAGCATAATTCATATAATTAGGTACAGTATATGCATACATATGTGAATATGTACATACATACACTGCATGACATAGTGGAGAAAGAACCAATCTGGGACACAGGAAGAATTGGTCTTTGACATGTGATGACTATAACCATGGCAAGGTCCTACCCTACCAGTGTGCCAGGCAACTTTTTAAAACTACAAGTTACAGAAGAATTGTTGATTTTCATCACTGGTAGAAAGCTTCCACACCACAAGAGTTTCTTATATTGACAAAATGACAAAGTCACAGACCCAAATTTGCATATATGTATGCGCAGGCATGGGGCAGCTACATGGTACAGGGGATAGGTTGCTGGGCCTAGAGTCAGGAAGACCTGAGTTCAAATCTGTCCTTAGACATTTAGTAACTGTGTGACCCTGGGCAAGTCACTTAACCCTGCTTGCCTCAGTTTTCTCATCTGTAAAATTAGCTGGAAAAGGAAATGGCACACCACTCCAGTATCTTTGCCAAGAAAACCCCAAATGAAGTCACAAAGAATTGGACATGACTGAACAATAATAAAACATAAACTCATGTCTACATGTATATAGTTTTGCATATATATATATGTATATATATATATATGCATGTATGCATAAATAAAATTACTTACACAAAATGGGTGTGAATATGTATACACATATGCATATAAACAAATCTGCAGATGTACACATATACATATGGGTTATATATATATACATATATATATGTGTGTATATACATATATATGTATATATGTATGTGTATATATATATGTGAGAAATGAGAATAAGAAGTAAGAATAAAAAATGTCATAGGCATCATCATTATGAAACAATCCCAAAGCAATTAAAGAAGTTTCACCCTTAATTATCGGTGTTCTGAGTGTGTCTTCAAGTACTACAATGTCTATCAAATATAAATATAATTTGGAAGATGCTAAGAATGATAATTAAAATGGGAAAACATAATGTAGAGAATAGATACCTGTTGGGAATTCACCAAATGCCAGTGATTAAGCAGATTGCATTGCAAAGAAAACACTGATAGAAACCAAATACCTTTATCAAGGACAACCAAAATCTGTGAGAATTTGTTTCTTTGGAGACACAACTGCTGTTTGGTCTTGTGTTGCTTGTTGATGATTCCTGTAGAGATTCACAATGTGAGATTGATGAAATTAGGAATGGGAAGAAATAATGACTTCCCTGAAACAGAATGAAGTAATAGTACACTTCAGTATATCCAAACTCTTAAGGGCCCTGTGGTTGCAATCATTACACTCCAATCTGTTGAGTTCTGGAAAAGCAATTCTTCGAAGTAATAGCAATTTGCAACTGTGTTGAAATGACCCTATAAAATAAAGTGATATGAAGTAAGAGAGATCCAAATGGCTCTGCTATTCAGTGTTCAATCTAACACATCTGGCTATGTTCCTGGAGATGTGTTTGTTGCTAATGGGACATACAGATGTTGCCATCCCAAAATTAAAGCAGGAGGTGAACATGTCTTTAAGGAGTTTTTTGCAGAAAAGATATTGATTAATGTCACAGTGATTAGCTACACAGAAGGCAGTTTCAAGAATGATGGTGGGCTGCAGCAACTAGTATGGCATGTTATCTTATTAATCAAAAGGGCTAGAGCCATTACTCTAAAGCACGACACATTACAACTGTTGTATTCAGATTTTATTCTTGGCTGATTTACCCTTACCAAGAAAAGCTTAGAGTTTAAAAGACAGGCTATTACTTTAAGGTACAAAGACTATATTTAAAAATTAGCAATCAACACCATTTCCCTATTTTGATTTACTAGCCATTTTTTCCCACTATTCAGATTGATCTCTAAAAGCAATCAGACTGAATTCCAACTTTGATTTAAAGACAAGAAAGATAAGAGGATGCGGGCCAACCATCCTCCATCCCAAAGGGATGGTAATGCTTGCCTTTATAGCAATTTTTAAAGTGTTCTCTGGATATATTTTAAAAAACTACAACCCAGACAATAAAAAGTCTTCCTCGTATTGTGTTGAAAGCAAGTTTTTTTTTTCAATGTGTAAAAGAATTGGATGTATACTGGATATCTCAATAGGCTAGAGAAAAGTGAAAGAACGTATTCAAAGAATAGCAAAATAAATAACATTTTCCCTTTTCATTTGAAATTATTTTATTTGACCAACACTCCCCAAAATTATCTAGCCAAAATAAATATAGTCATATATATGTGTGCACATGTACACATGAATGTATTTTATTTATATACATGTATGATGATGCATGTCTTTTTGTTGACTTTTTAAAAAGAGATGGGGAAATAAGATAAAATTGATGTAAACCTTTAGCTTTTTATTTGGGTCAGCCATGAGTTTATGGTTGTTTTATAAACTTTTAGTTTTCCAATATGTTTGTATGGTTTTAAGTGATCAAACAGTATTAACTGTTTATGGCATTTTTCATCAAATTTTGCATTTTGACTTGCAATACACACTCATATAAATAACTATCCTAAGCTAACACTGATTGAATGGCCAGATTAAAAGAGTAGTTACTTATGGATCACTGTGAACTATGAATAATTACAGTTCAATTCTTCCAAGGATCTGTGCTTGAGCCCATACTGTTTAACACTGTTATTTAAATAAAAGTATGAATGGCATGCTTAACAAACTTGAGAGGTATCTTCAAACATTAGATGACAGAATCAGCATCCAAAAAGATCTTGACATACATGAACACAGGAAAGAATCAAATAAGATGAAATGTAATGAGAATAAAAGTAAAGCCTGATACTTGGTTTCAAAAAATTAATTTCACAATTATTAGATGGAATAAAACAGTTCTGGAGGTTTTATTGAACCAACAACTCAATACAGTTGTCCCCTGACATTTGTGGAGGTTATGGGTATAGGACTGCAGTGAATGTGAAAAGTAAGAATTACTCTAGGCCCCATCCAAACCTTTATTTCTAATAATCTGATCACAGTTATTTAACATTAAAAAAACCTAGTAAAGCAACAGACTATGTCCATAAGAAAGTTCCAGTTTCTATTGTGAGAGGTTAATATCTAGCATACTGCACTGTCTTTACAGCTCCTAGTATAGCTACAGCAACAGCTTCACAAATTTCCTTCTCTTACAAAAAGCATAATATACGATGACAACTGAGGGAGAAAAATTTCATGACTGAATGTGAATGGCAGAGAGACAGAAAGGAGGCATTCTCAAAGAGAGTGCTTAGCCTGTAGTTCTTTCATGCACTGAAACTTTTAACAAAATTTAACTGTTTATGATAAATTATGTATTTATACTTATGGTAGATAATGACAAAATAGATTAATAATATACAGTATTTATGCATTTATGACTTACCACTTGTTTTTTTTTATTATTGTTGTTTGTTTCCTTTACTTACACAGTATAACAGAAATCTCCAAAAATTTCCATTTAATTATCAATGACCAACCCATGAATAACCCAAACTGGGAATGTGAAACCCTTGAATGTCGATGTTAATACAGATGATTGTGATTGATCCAGGGTTTTACACACACACACACACACACACACACACACACACGTGTGTGCATGACTAAAAGCCATTCTCTAATACTGAAATGATCAAACTATATGAACAAAGAATTCTCAAAAGAACTACAAAGTATTCGCATCCAAATAAAAAATGCTTAAAATCACTAATAATAAGAGAAATGCACATCAAAATAACCCTAAGGTTTCACCTCATACCCTGTAAATTGGCAAAATTTAAATAAAAACGATATCAGTCTCATAAGGGCTGTAGCAAGATAGGCATACACATACATTGTTGGTCAAACTATAAAATGGTACAGCCCTATTGGAAATCAATTTGAATTACGCAAATTAAGTGACTATGCTCCAAAAAGTCATTTTTAAAAAGTCTCTATATACTCCAAAATATACTTATTGTGATAACTAAGAATTAGAAAGAAAGGAGATGTCAATCAATTGGGGAATGACTAAACAAATTGTGGTACATGAATGTAACGGAATATCATTGTGTCGTAAGATGTGATATGGGTGATAAATACAGAGAAGCATGAAAAGATCTATATGAACTGATGCAGAGTGAAGTAAGCAGAGCCAAGAAAACAATGTATAATAACTATAGCTATGTAAATGAAGAATAACACACCAAAAAGTCAAAATATAAATGTAACAAAATTATAAACAGTAAATGGAACTCAAATAAAGATAAATGAGAAGACACTCTCCAATCCACCCCTCTGTAGATTTGGAAGTTCCAGAGGTATTACACATTGCACATATTTTTGGATTTTTTCAATGTATTGGTCAGTTGTGTTGATTCTTCTCCCCTTTTTTCTCTCTAAAAATACTGTTTTCCATGTGGGACGTACATGTGGGACACTATGGTGATGTAAAAAAACAGAAAAGATCTGTAAAAACTTATTTTTAAAAAATTAGTTGATTGTATTAGGTGACCTCTAAGATCCCCTCCTGCATCAAATATGTAATCCTATGATATCATAGAAACTTACTTTTCCAAAAGAATTATCTTTCTTTGCTCAAAATAAAACAATTCTTCAATGCTTTGTGCTAAGCTTCATAGCTTAGTTAACAAGGGATACTAATTCAGAACACAGTTGTGTTGTTTAAAAAAAATTATAATGTCTTTTTCAGTGTGTTAGACATTGTGTGGCAGGCACTAAGAGCTCTTTACCTAGAGAAACAACTGTTTCCAATGGTCATTCAAAATAAAAAACAAAAAAGCTGTTACTTATTTAAAAAAAGAACAACTTATCAACAAATAGGACAGAAGACAGCAGTTTGTCATTTTGATAGAGAACCAGACTTAGAGCCAGTAAGTCTTGGGTTCAAGTCGTGTCTCTGATATGACTGTGTGACTCTGATCATATCATTTAACCTCTTTGTGATCTAGGAAACTCCCTATTACTAAGGAGTTACTCAGGCTCTTCTGTGAATTTATAGCTCTCCCAATATGGACATTCTTTTGAGGGGACTTTTGAGCACGTCCAGTTTTCCTAACATGGAGCCAACTGTGCTCCCTATCACATAGGTGGAAGTAGTTCCCTTTGGCTACTTGTGCCCGTAAACTGATGATACTGAGTCATTCTTTCTTTCTCTTTTTTCTCTCCCCTGTTGCTCTCTTTGGCAACTCTTTTATCTGTTGCCTCCAGAGGGTGAAGATCTCAGTTCATGCACAGTAAGTACTGAACAAGTTAGAGGGGAATAACTTTATTTCCCCTGCTCCCTCTCTTTTACCCTGCCTCTGAGAAAGGAGCCTGGGGTGTTTGTTTCTATTCTGTGGTTTGTTCTCCTCAGTTTTAGGTACCAGAGGTAACGTCCACCCATGGACACAGTGTGCTTCATGTTAGGAAAACTGGACATGCCCAGAGAAATTCGCCTCACACTAGGAATTACAGAGGCAATGTGCACTGCATTGGTCAGGGGAGAGGAAGTTTTCTCTTCTAAGTGCTCCCTACATCAGTGAAATCATAGGTAATACCTCTGGTCATACCCACTTCATATTTGATTAAAAAGGAAAATTACAAAACAGCACAAGTGATATAGTGAACCCACTTTACATATGAGTCATGTTACTAGTATTTCAAGACCCCAAATCTTTCTTGTCTTTAACCATTTTATTCTTACCTATCACTCCCTCCCTAAAATCGTATTTGTCTTAGTAAAGTATCAGGGCTGGCCAAAAATGGACTGGAGCCATGACTACCAGAAGTAAATTAGTACAAGTCAGTTTTCCTTATATATATGTACTTTTCATGAAGAAAAATATAGAAAATCACATAAAGTGTTCCATTGGTTTGCTGTCTTCTCTGTTAGACCCATATTGTGATTATGAGTTAACAAGTGTTTCTAGTTTACAGAGTAGTAAAGATTGAATAGTAGCCAAGAAGCAATGACTGTAGAGAAGATGATAAAAATATGAGGCCATCTGTTCTCCGAGTTTTGAAAGAAAGTAAATAATATCATGATTAAGAGGAATATTGGGGTTTTTTTGTTCCCCCCCACACACAGTGGGTAGGTGGAAGGAATGGTGGGGAAAAAAAGACACCCTGATATATGGTGGGAATGAAAGTTGCTCATCAATGCAAAACCTTTTATTGAAAATC